CTGAAAACGCGATGAAAAATTATTAAGTGAATGATGAAAAAATAGAAAATCAAAGTGTATTAATTATTATGGGATGGAGATTCCCTCAAAAAATTATTATGGGATGGAGAAGGTATTAGTATTCCTTTTTCTTTGTCAATGCAAATATTTAAATAATCAAATTCATTTATTGTTACTAATTAAAACTTATGCTTCCATTTTAATAATATTGCAACAATTACCATTATAGAAATTTGCACAAATATTGTAATATTTTCTCTTAATGTCTCTCTTCATCACATGAATCTCTCTCTCTTTTTTTTTCTTTTTATTTTTTATATTGTATTTATTTTTTGGTTTTTTTTAGACACATGAATCTCTATTTTATTTCTCTTTATCTCTACTCATCTTAAAAATTGAGCCTCCTCCAATTTTGTAAAACGAGGAAGTATTTACTTAACTAGACTTAAGTCATGTTCTGATTTACTGAACTAAGCTGAGTTGAACTAAACTGAACTGAACTTATAAGAGACAAGCTGAACTATTTAACTATTGATTAGTGATGTTTAACTAAGGAATAATGATCTTTGATTATTTATTATTATATATATAAGTGTATATACAAAAATGCATATTAAAATATTAATGAAAAAAATAATAATATATTATTAATATTTAATGTTATTATTATTGTTATAATTTTTTTTGTTATTATTATTATTATTATTATTATTATTATTATTATTATTATTATTATTATTATTATTATTATTATTATTATTATTATTATTATCGTTTTTTTAATATATGCTAATAAGAAGGGGTGTAATAAGGGTAATAAGGTTTTTGTTGTTTTAACATACTAGTTGAGCCATCGCGCGCGATGCGCGCGATAGCTCAATAAACACCACTAGAGTGTTATTAATTTTAGTTTATAATAAATGTGTTACTAATTCGATTCATTTGTAGGTTGGGTTTTGGGTTTAGTTTTGAGAATTGATATTAAACTCTTTATGCGAGCGATAGCCCAGTAAAGTAGAACCGAGTGTTGATAATTTGTAGTATAAGCAAACGTGTAATAGTAATTGCTATAGTTATTGTTAAAAATTATTGCTATTGTAATAAAGCAGAAAAAATTATTGCTATGGTTTATAAACAAATGTGTAAAAGTAATGCCGCGATAGCCCAATTCACAAAAACTGGATGTAGATAAATGCTAATTTCTATAAAGTATACAAAAAAAATTGGTTGTGAATGTTAGTATCTAAGAGTTGTGTTGTTATCGAATGCAAGTATTTTGAATTTTAAGTACATTTGGTATATTCGTTTAATGTAACTATTAATTTTGTTTTATGATTTGATTTTCTATTGAATATGGATATGAGCTCAATATTTGAGCTTCTTTATTTTTTTAAAATTAAAAATGAGTGATAATAAGTTTTTGTATATAAAATTAAACATAATGTATTAAAGGATACTATCTCGTTGTCTAATTTTCAATAAAAACGGAACACAATCGTATGAAAAATAATTAACCTATGTTCATTTAAAATGATTTACAGATAACTTGTTTTAAAATGACGTTTAAGCCAAAAAACGATTAGCAGAAATCAAAAATCGTTTCAACACACGTATATATATACCATGCATAATAGGAAAAGATACTTTCTATTTCTAGATTTTTAAAATGTAATTTTTTTTTATGCAAATATGGGAGAACCCGTACACAATAACAACTAAGATACAACCATTCGTGGCAAGGCCACTCCTATGATATCCTCATGGAGTAGGTGCTTTATTTTCGATGGCGGAACATCGAACTAAATCACACAATCCGATTGGATGACACCTAAGTTAGCCAAACTATCGACCACTTCACCTAAGTTAGCCAAACTATCGGCCACTTTATTCCCTTCCCGATTACAATGAAAAACAAAAACAGACCAACCCTCCCAATTTAATAACCTATGACAACTATTTAACATATGACAACGCTCCCCTCTCCGGGTAACTGGATTCTTAGAGCCTCCACGCAAGCTTGATTATCCAACTGTAAGTGTAGCTTCTGTATGCCCATTGCCTTTGTGTAGGGAATAGTTTCAAGCATTTAAAATCCCACTAGCTTGAACCCCACTGTGATCATACACTAAAGTATGGTGGCGTCCAAAAGGGAAGAAGATAGAGCAAAAGAGTCGCCAACAAGTTTTTAAGGAACTTGTAAACCGTTCACGAGGTGAAGGTTACACCCTTTAACGATCCAAGAGATCGTCAACTCCATAAGGTCATGAACCAAATAAGGGTTAAGGGATGATGGTACAAATCCAACCTAAAAGAGATTGAACCTGCCCTAATAATAGGCCTCTACTTTATTCTGCTCGTATTCATGTGCGCTTTCTAACTAACATACAATCAATAGGATTAACCCTAAACCCGTTTAATCTATGTTGGTTGAATATTAAATGCACAAATAAACTATTATTGGCGATCACTTGAATTATAATCACAATTAACCCTAAACAAGATTATTAATTATCTTATTAAGCGTGATTACAAGTACAAATTCCCTTTAAACATGCAATAAAGGTGTGATCAAGCAATAAATAAATATAATCAAGCAACATAATAAATAATCAATATCATGAATAATAATTATAATAATCATAATAATAATGATAATCATAAATAAAATAATCATCATCAAAATACTAATAATAATAATAATAATAATAATAATAATAATCATGAATTATAACAATCATAATCATAATCATATTCATGTTAATATTAAATCATAATAGCAAGATCCTAGGCATGATACTAACAAGATTAATAACAAACCCTAGCATGTCACTAAGCAATAAAAATCAAATCTTTAGCCCTAACATGATACTAACATGAACAAATATTAGGAAGAACATAGGAAGCATCATAGTTTTAATAATACTTAATATTAAAATTAACCTAGACATGATACTAGGAATCATAATAACAATCTAAACATGATTTCTACATCATAAATCAATTAATCAAGTAAAGCACTTACTTTGATGCTTCGTACCTCTTTCTAATAACAAAATACACACGTTAGTAACTTCAAGGAAAATAATAAAAACAATCAAATTAAATAATTGAAAAAGAGATTTGGGACCAAACCCTCAGAAATTAAAACCTTTCACGTCTAGGGCGAAGGCAACTTCGAATATGGCTAGGTGTTTCTAGATCTTGTGAATGCGGAATTTTGTATGAAAAAGCAAGAAAGAATTGAAGAAAGAAAAGAATGCTAAAGAATTAATGTTTATTGAGAATAGAGAGATGAAGATGATGAATGAATTGCGAATGAAGAGAGTTGGTGAATGAAAACTTGTGAATGAAGAGAGTTGATGAATGAAAACAGAGTTTTCAATACGATATTTATAGAGAAAATCAGCCAAAAAAGATAATTTAACAAAACAGAGTCTGACAATCGCAAAACAGGATTGGCGCCAACCCTGGCTAGCTGGCGCCAGGCACCAATGGCTAGCGCGTGGCGCCAAGCCTTTGGGGTTGGACGCCAAACTGGATTTCAACGCGTTTTTGAAAATCTGATAAATTTCCCATACTGGAAGATAAAATAATATAATTTCTTCGAAAATGCTATTTGATCTTGATTAAAACTCTGAAAAGTCCTAATTGAATTAGGAATGAAAAAAACCCTTTTAGAATATTCTAGAAGACCAAAACCATTCCTAATTGCATTAGGAATGATAAATCATATTAGGCCCTCCCCTAGATCATTGGGCCGTACATAAAGCTCAAACCGGGCCCTGTTTAGTAAATTGGCCATAACTTCCTCAATATTCATCGGAATTGGGCTTATAATATATCGTTGGAAAGGTCTTTGCAAGCCCCATCTAACTACACCACTATTGGACCCATATCATGGACCAACCAAACTGGATTGGATGTTTTCTTAAAATAAAGTTTTCAAAATCAGGGAGAAGAGAAAAGAAATAAAACTTTCCGCAACACTAGACCTTTCCACACTTCGTTTCATTCGATTATGATTCAATGTAAAAGGTACTCATCACCGGGTTTGGTTTTGGGGAGACACAAATGGGTGTCTACACTTTGCCATCTCAAGGCCAGTCTCAACAGCAGCTAATTCTGCCTCGAATGCAAAGCATAAACCAAGAGGAGCAGCAAAGCCCTTGATGAAGATCCCACGATTATCTCTGATTACAGCCCCTGCTCCTGCCAGTCCTAGTGTGCCATTTGAAGCCCCATCTATATTGAGAGCAAAGAAGTCCATAGGAGGTGCTGACCATCCAATGAATGCTTCCTTCCTGTCCTTTTGATCAAGAAAGCTCCTTCTAGAAGAACCACTGTCATACATTGCGGCCTATGTTACATCAACACAGTTTCTGATAAAGTTACCAGGGTTGATAGGGATTTCAGCATTCCTTCCAAAACAAACACAATTTCTCCACTTCCAATTCCAACACAAGGCAAGAGAGAAGCAAGTTGGCCATTTTTCTGAATATATTAAACCATCGCTTTGAGATTCTTGCTAACCCATTCCTTTAAATTACCATTCCAAAAGGAAGGGTAATTGGCAGATGCACCTATGCTATGCCAAATTGCACGGGCTGCTGGACAGTCACTATAGCAAAACACTATATATTGAATTGAAGAATTTCTAAAGTTGTACTATAATGATCAGAAATCACAGTTAAACACATTTAGTTTTTTTTTTTTTTTTTTTTTTTTTTTTTTTTGGTAGGAGAAATTACTAATCAATTTTATAAAACCTTAAGTAAACACCACCTAATTTTCTATTTCAAATTGGAAAGATCTTAATTCATATACAAAACCGATGAATGATCCCAATCAAATTTGAAATTATCGTTTGCAACCATGAATCTTTATATAAATAAATAATGCGGTCTTTATAGTTTTTATATAAAGAATATTTTTTTCATATAAAAAAACTATAAATAAATACAGACTGCATTATTTTTTTTATATATATAAAACTATTCGTTATATAAATAAATCGATCAAGCCACAAACCATGAACTCGTACCACGTACCGAATTGAAACATGAATCTGGTAATACTACTCCTGATTTATTTTCTCTCTCTCAACCCCCTCTCTCTATCCCAGACCTTCTCTAACTTGGGTTCTTCTTTCTCGATGCATCCCTCTATCCATGCTCCTCTCTCGCTCTTTCCCATGTCCCTTTTTTTTTCTCTCTTTTGCACACCTTCTCCCTTCCCCCCATCTTTCTCCCTCTTCTCCCAACTCATTCCCATACCTTCTTTTTCTCTCATTTTGTCTCCTGCCTCCCTCTCTCTCGGCCCCTTTCCTTTTCCGGTATGCCCTTTTCTCTCCTGGCATGCCCTCTCTTGACTCCCCAATATATAGATAATTTGGTGTCACATTTATCCATCATCCTTTATATTTTAATACTTGACTTATATGGTTTTACAAACTTATTTAAAATCTTTTTCAAAAGTATTGTTTACCAACTCCAAGTTTACATACTAAAGATGATCCTCTAAACAGTTTACATACTAAATAAATCGTGCATAAGGTGTTGAACCCACATCTTATGCACGATAGCATAATGCTTCACCAATTAAGCTAATAGCCTTCATATACACACAAATTGCTATGATACAATCTTAAATACCCAAATTGCCTCAAATTAAACTACACACATCTGACATCTTAAAGCATGTTAATTGTAAAGGTTAAAGAATAAAGCAAATCAATCCATAATCTCTTTTTAGTCAAAATGTTATGAACTAAAAGACTCATAACTTCAACTTAAAGCACAAGATGAACAAAGGACAAAATAAATTTGATTCATGAGTACCACTTCCAAGGTTTGGACGACTAAAATGGAGGCATTCACATTAAAAAAAAATAGTAGTAGTAATTAAGTATTAGTTCTTTAAATTACACCTGGTATTCACTTTCTTTTGTTATAGTAGTTAATACATTTACATAAAAAAGACTTAACAGGAAGCATAGACACATTACAGCAAGTCCCTAAGAAATAGAAGTAGGCAATATTATTGTAATTAATTATGAGATTTTCAAACATATTAGAGTAGTTGCATGAGTTCAATTGATTAAGAAATATTTACAAACAAAATGTAGCATACCTCTTTGAGAAACTCAATAGGACGAATTTGAAATCGCATATCACACCTATGAAGAGCTTCCGAAGAGAACTGATGTTTGTCGAGCCACCATAGCAAGTGGATCAAGTGCTTACTTGGTCACATGATAGATCAGCTAAACAAAGTCCATCCTGCAAAATTTCAGCCCAAACAATCACTAATTAGAAGCATGTAACTTCTTACACCTCCCTTTTAGTATATAGACCATAGTCAGATTTTGGAGCAAGTTAAGACCATTAATTTGAAGAAAACCAAACAGAAGCAATTGTCAACTAAAATCAGAGAATAGAGCTTATCAGAGTGCCACTTTATTTAATAATTTAACAGGAACATTGCAAATTAAGCAAATTAACCTGACACTTACTTGGATTAACGGAAAAGACTGGACATGAAGCATGCTAGTTTCAAACTCCAAGAGAGCAATAGCGAAAATAGATAATCAGCGCAGTACAGCTAAACTAACTTTCTAAGCCCAATAATAAAAGGAGTAAATAAATGACATAGCCCCCAAATTAATTTACAAATTATAGGGACAGAGATAGAATCAAAGAGGGTAAAAACTCATAATTTCAAATCAAAAACCCATATTCAAAAAGAAAAGAAAAATTGGAAACAAGCCTTTCAATTTCGAGAGTAGACTAAAATATTGATTCCGAAAAAGATGATGAAAAAAAAAACAGAAAAAATTATAACAATATTCTTAAAAAAAAATCATACAAACATAAATTACGCACAGATTTCAATTATTCATTTTATTTAATTTTTCATAGGCTGAATCTCTTGTCAATGTTTAATCAAGGAAATGAAATAGGTGTGATCTACCTGAGTGCTCAAAATGAAGGGCCAGGACTAACTGCAGAAGATATCACTGTAGTCCATCATCATCAACTCTTTCAAAAACTCAACGCATTAGCACAAACCTGTAAAAAGACATCAAGTCACTTGATTTAGCTAAAAAAAATAGTAAAGAATATGAACCACAACTGATGGTGATATGATGATATGTAGTTTAAATACCTGTTTCACCCTAACAAAAGATGTTGACGATCAACTTTGTCATTCTAAAAGTGGCTTCAATGTTAAAGACAGGTCATATTTTAAATCCATTGCAATATACAACTTTGAATTCTGGACAACTAAGCTGCCACGTTCAAAACTTCAAATGATCTTCCTTGCCTACTTCATAAGTTCAAGTGACATATCTAGCATCATTAGGTCTTCATCATACATTTATTGCTTTGAAAGTCACTAAATCTGTCATGAATAGATATATTTTATCAGAGGAATTTTCTCTCACCCCTTAATCTTAATTCACATTTATCAACAATAAAGTCCATTATAGGTCAATTATCAAATTTAACACCCTGTCACAATTAATCAAATAGCAACAACATAATTGAACGTTACCCAACATAAAAGAAATTAAACGAAACAAAACTTGACAAACTCACCATACCGCCTTCAGCATCATGTTCCCTAGCAAGTTCTTGTAGGAACCAAACAACACTACCTTCATCAGCAACCTCTTGCTTCAACTCTAACAATTCTATAATGAGACTTTCATCTCGATTAGGGTTAGCAAACGCTTCCTATACACACAAAAACAAAAACCACATTGACCCTTCCATACCCACAAAACCCATCATTACAAATAATTCTCTTAAAAAAAATTAAAATTCAACGTGATGATTAGGAACTTCCCGTACACTGCTCAAATCCTATAAATATAATTCAAATTTGCACATAAAACAAAAATTCAAAATATTGTTAATTTCCCACAAATATAACTTAAATAAAAAGCAAGAAATTGGGAAATTTGGCATGTAAAATCAAGAATCTATCAGGAAAGGTCATTGATATTGCCCCCACCAAATAATGGGTGCTCAGTACATGCATTATCCACCATATTTTAAGAAAAAAAAAAACAGCATTTCAAGCAAAAAGAAAACACAAAAATCAACCAATTTAAAGAGAAGACGATGAATTAAACCACGAATATAGTAATGAGAAATTGACAAAACCCAAAACATTCATACCTATCATACCAGAAAGTTGTTTTGCCACTTTTCATAGCGCCGCAAATGAATACAACAGGAGACAACATTCTGGTAAAACTTTTTGCTATGGTGTCTGCAGCGTATAAGAGGCAAATAGCAGCAGATAAGCCCGACCTTAGACAGAGTGAAGAAAAATAGTCTTTTTTGAGATGGCACGTGCAAATTTGAAATCACAAAGCTAAAAAAATAGAAGCGAGAATAAGCTTTTTATACTGAATAAATTTAACCTTAATAACGCATAAATTTAAAACTACACATTTGTATAAAAGAGGTGAAGACAACAATGTAACAAAAACTGCAGCTAGAAAGGTGCAAGCCAGATTGCCGATTCACGAGTCATTATGCTCTTCAAAAGATGATACCAAATTGCAAGCATTGATGTTGGTCTTATTAGTTACGAGTACCCTGTAATGCTAACATAAATATCTAGATAATCAAACATCAACATAAATATCAAGATAATCAAACATCACAGCGCACTTGAGCTATAAGAGAGTAATTTCATAGCACCGATGATATGTCATTGAGATTCTATGGCATCACAAGGAAAATGCATAAGCAGGTGCACACTTGCCTAATTATATCAATCCTATTCACTTTATAATACTCCTTATTTATCAGAACATATCAAACATCCAATCATATCTACTATGGAGTATAATTCAGCAGATCACACTACTAAGTTGCAGTCTCGCACCACATTACACCATTGAAACAAAAGTTATCGACTTCCTTGTCAATCAACTGCAGTAAGCAAAAGATAAACAACACCAACACATACAAACTCAGAAAAACATATTACAGATAACACAGATTTGCCAATGCCGATGATAATACATCAAAATTCTACGAACCAAAGACTAAAACTACATAATTGGAAAATTTTACAGAATAGAAAATACCTCAAAATTCTGAAACAACCCAAAAACATACATACTGTATTTCTTAGCAAATGCCTCAGCTTCAGCAACTGAATTCAATCTAACAACAGGCTCACCCGTCTTCTTCCTTGCCCAAGTCAGTATCTCCTCCCTAATCCAAAACCACATCTTCAAAATTTCGAAAAAAATCCAAATTAAATATACCCTTCAAATTCAAATTTAACAAAACATAAAATTAAAATCTTACGCAGAAAATCCACCAATATAATGCTGAGAAGTGCCATTGATGAAAAGAAGTGCCAATTAGTTGCTGGTGACCAGCCCACCTCCCCCACCCCGAGCCTACCTACTCGCTAACCCCCAAATCCTCGACCCTACTCTTCTCCACGATCCTACTGCTCCGTCCTTAAACAATTTTTGTTCTTTTGTCTCTCCTTCCCCAAACACCACCACTGGTCCACCCCTCTCTCAATCCCCACCACCACTATACCACTCCAGTCCCATCCCACCACCAGAACCGCCCCTCCCCTTCTTGACTATTGCTGCCAACCTCCCCCTCACCCAACAGGCCAAACCTCCCACACAACCCACCAACCAAACCTCCCCCCTCACCCAACAGGCCAAACCTCCCACACAACCCACCAACCAAACCTCCCCCTCACCCAACAGGCCAAACCTCCCACACAACCCACCAACCAGTCTCTATTCCACCCCTACCCTTCTACAGCCCCGATTCCACCAATTTCCGACCACCGTAACCAATCCTCACCACCAAAAACTCCCACACCCACACACCCCACCAACGAGCCAGAATCCCCCACCTCACCCAACCACAACTCCCTTCTCCCTCACAAACAGCAGCCACCAGCAACCCTGGTGCCCTGATGCTGCTCCATCTCCTTGCACCAAACAGAACAACTCCACATCACCAATTCTTCAATTGCGCACCAAATCACAGCCAACGCCACCAATTACCGCCAATCTGCCACCCACAATCATCAATTTGATACCGTTTTCAACAATTTCTCCTTCCACCGTTGATTTTATTGAGATTCGGGATTGATGATGATGGTGAGCATGGCCTACCATTGGTTTGGTATCTTCAGTACTAATATTTTAAATAAATTTACCCCAGTATAAATATTAAATAAATTTACCTAAAAAATTGAATTTGTATCTTCTCGAGATCATCTCAAAGTTCTTCATTTCCAGTGAGCTTCTCTCATATTCAACCTTTACAATCCCCTGACCTACAGATCTTGGATCTGAAGGAAAATTACTTGACCTTCCTCTGTAAAAGCAATAAGATGTTCAGTAAAAATCAAAGTAAAATCAAACCAACAGGCCTAACTTCTACCACAGCATTATTCATGAGAAGAGGATCAAAATTTAAAATTTATATTTTTAACTTCTGTTTATAACTTGTGCTTCTTAATTACAGTCAAACTTGTTATACAAGTTCCAAATTCAAGATACACTCCAAATCCAAAACCCTAGATTCGTACAGTTCATGACTTTCCTAAATCTTGCTATCTATGCCCCTAATGTATACCAAATTAACCAAAACCCTAAAGGACTTGTTTACCATCTACTCATAAGGACATGAAAATTGTCTATCATGAGGTATAAAATTTCATACGTTATGGGGCAAACAAATATAAATAAAAAAATTTAATAACCCTTGAAAGCTAAAGCATATCATAGATTAGAAAAATTTAGAAATTTACCCATAAGATTAACACGAAGACGACTGCTAAGCTCCACAAAAAGCTCAAACATCGGACCTAAATCGCCGACAATGCCATGATGATAAAGCAAAGTAGATGAGGCTTTAGCGTTTACATACATAGCTGCAGCTCGTTCCCCCTTTGAATTTGGAGCTTTAAAACATCAATGCCAAGAATTGACAATAATTTCTCGCCACCAGAATTTCATCAGAGATCACCGTGTATACATTAGAGCTGACAGGAAAAAAAAAAATGAAAATTTAGCAGCAATTGATGAATTCAGTCCCCCACCCCCGTTCTTTTTCTCTCTCGTCAGATATTCCTGTTTCAAAAACCTTTCCCCCAAACATCTCCTCTTTTATGAAAACCTAAAAAATTTCCAGCTTAAAATCGATAATCCGGAAAAATTCAAGCCCAAAATCGACAACCTTGATAAAACTAAGCTATATTAAGACTCAGAGACCACCAAGACAAAATCCAAGTAAAAATTAGCAACCTAGAAAAATCTAAGCAAAAAATGCGATGACCCTGTTACACAGACCAAAATTATTGAACTGAAAATCGATCACCCAACAAAAAAAATGAGCTGAAAATTGAATACCTAAAAAAAAATTTTAAGGTCATAAATCATAATCAACAACCTAAAAAAATTAAAGTTTGTATAAAGATGACCCTTTAAAGCTCAATCAAACCATGTAAAAGTAGGGGCGGAAGCTAAAAATAACGTAAGTTCTAATATTTTAAGGTCCCTAATATAAAATTGAATTTAACAATAATCACAATAGCTAGATTAACCATAGACTAATTTAGGAAAATTATGAACAACATATCAGAATAATTGATTTCAATAGGAGTAGTATTTTTTTCGATCCCAAGAATCTCTTTTTTTAGCCATGAAAAATAACCTAGTTCATCCCACACATATAACCCAATGAATCTCAAATTATATCCCAAATTATAGGGGGGAAAAAAGCAAAAAAATTGTACCTTAATTGAGTGAACAGAAGGCTACGATTCTCCATAAGCTTTTCCAATCCACCCCTCTGATTTCAACACAGTTAATCTAACCTAACAAAGGTATGAATAACCAACATCGAGTAAAAACAAATAGCATTATTTTATGTAGAAAGATACAAGGATATAATTTTCTACCTTTAATTGAATGCATAAGGATCATCTGATCATCTCCATCAGCAAGCATATGGATTCAGAATTTCGGAGACCCACTGCCCTAACTCTCTGCATTATGAGACTATATCATCAATTATTTTGTTCTCTAATTTATTGGTGACTTTCAAAAGCAGCAACCAAGCATATTAAAAAAAAGTCTAAACCATGAGTAGAAAAAGCAATCAACAGTGTAGGAAAATTTATGAACCTAAGCAAGATAAAAGAACTCATCTCTAATTATTGTGATAAAACTCAGCATACCTACAAACAGAACAAGAGAAAATGATAGCTTTCATTACAGGATAAAATCTAATCAGATTAAATTATATATCAGTGGTAATCAAAGCATGTATGCCATCATTTGTGTTTCTACCTATACAATCCAGAAATGTTTAAAAAATAAATAAAAATAAAATCATACAAACAATAAATTACTCACACAGAGTACTTAATTATCTGAATCCTAAAATTGAATCAGAGTAACATGTAAAACAGTATACTCTGATTGAAGAAAAAATATTCAAATGATTTTATGTAGAAAGAACCATACCTTGATCAGAAGCCGCTACAATGGAGAGTCGAAGAGTTTGTGAAAAATGGAAATAAAATAGGATGAACCGATCCTAACTACATAAAAGAAGAAATTGGGCATTGCTAAGAAATTAATCTAAGAGTATATGATTTAAGGATCCATTAGATGAAATTGGGCATTGCCCTGAATCCTAATTCATTATAACAGATAATTAGGGATCCCAAAGAATAACGACATTTTATTTGACGCCGTAACTGCAACTGAGTTATTTGACATTTGTTTCGGGGGTTTTTGTCCCTTAGGAGAGTTACAACACTGAAACTTGATTCAACTGAGGACGCCTGTACCTGCAAAGCAAACGGACCGCCGGATGGTCGGGGGTCCGCCTCCGAAGATTAAGTTAGCAAGCGTTCGGTAATAAAACGTGCGGAAATAAAGTTACCTGCTCGGATTCCAAGCTCAGGTAAAGTGTGATAAGTGACGTATTGTCTCGTATTGCGTGTAAAATTCTCTGTTCTGTCATAAATGCCAGAATATACCTATTTATAGGGTCCTTTTGAAAAGTGTGCCCCTCCTAGGATCTGGTGACCTAGGAATTAGGTCACGCCGTTTTACGGCGCCTCGGGATTTGGGCCTTTGAAGGCCGCCATCCCAGGGCCAATGCCTGAGTGTCACTGAGCCCAAAAGGATTCTGAGGCACCTTTTGAGTGACACGTGTCGCCACCTAAATGATCCCTTCCGGATCTTCAGTCCGCGTAGGACAGAGAAGAGTCCGCCCTCCACGTGTCATCATTCCATGGGTCCAAATGGCACCTATATGGAGGACACGTGGCGCTTTCTGATTGGGCCACCTGGTCGGGTATAAAATACCCAAATCATTTGCCCCTCACAGGGGTCACGTGCATTGCACGTGACTCCTGTGACAGGTGTCATTATCTGAGTGGTCAGATTCAAAAATTACTGGAGGGAAAAAATTAGGGTTTTACCCCCTTATAAATAGTGAGGTTTGACCCCCCCCCTTTGGATTCACACCTTTGGGAATCTTTGGAGAATCTTGGACTTTTTGACTTTAAAGAATCTCAAAATTCCCTAAGTGTTTTTCAAGCATCCGACACTCGGCCAACAGTCCAACCGTTCTTTAGTCAACCAAGCGTCTTTCACCCTTCTTCCAAAGGTAACGCCTGTTTTTTCTTTTACTCTTCATTTTTTCTTTGTTTTCGAAAAAATGGCTCCCCAATTGCATGCGGCACGGCGTAGGATAGTGATCAGCCGGTCACCGGGGACGGCTGAATCTAGAACTAGCAGCGCTGAATGCTTGGCCAAAGACCCTGCTTTGCGAACTTCTCCGAATCCGACCGTTTCCGTGTCTGTGCAGGACACTATGGCAAGAACCAAAAGAACAGCAAGGCAGTGTAGCTCCGATGGAATTTTCTACCATTCGGATGGGTCGATTGTTTATTCAGACGGCTCAATAAGAGTGCCTCGAAGTGAGCTGTCGGAACATCCTGACAGCCCTTCCTATCTTCCTCCAACCCCCACCTATGACCATTCGCCCACATCTAGTGGAACTCCCAGTGATGGAATCCCGGGGGAGGCGGATGAGGAATATCAACCCGGGCCTTCTAGACAGGCGCCGGAAGAGAGTCTAGGGGAGGACCCCGCTGGCACCAGTCGGCGGTCCCCTAGCTCTGATGAGAGCTCTGATGACGAGTCGGCCTCGTCATCTTCTTTAGAGAACGCCTCCATAACTTCAGAGGAGGCTAGATCAAAAATAGATTCTGCCAAGGAGTCCCTGGCAGTGGATAAGGGGGAAAGCTGGGCCGAGCTGAGCGCTTCCAGGCGCTTGGAGAGAGCCCCCTACTATCATCATGTTCCGCCCGACAGGCGGAGCTCCATGGCATCCGGCCTTGCCAATTTTAGGCGCAAGGTCGTCCTAGGCTATGGCTATACTTTGTCGGTCCCTAACGAGGGCGACACCATAACCTGGCTGAGCCTGGCCAGCTACCAGGACGGAGCATTCGGCTGCTATGAAGCGGCCTTCCAAGCTGGCCTCCGCTTCCCTCTCCATCCGGCCGTGGAGAGGATCTTGGACGGATACCAGCCGGGTATCTGGCAACTTGTACCCAACTTCTGGATTAATATTCTGGGGTATGTTGCCGCCTGTGAGATGCTGCAGGTGGAGGCGAGCTTTGAAGCGTTCGCCCACATGCACTATCTGAGCAGGGCGCCTGCTAGGGGCGGTGAGGGCTGGTACACCTTGACCACTTGCAAGGGGTACATGATGGTTGTTGGCAAAGAGAACAAGTGGAAAGACTGGAGGACTAAGTTTTACATAGTTAAGTCTGCTGACAGCCGCCTGAACCAAAAGTATAACAGGCGGAATAAGAATCCACCTTTCCTAGCAGGCAGGAGTGCATTGCCGCCTATTCCCAGGCGGGCAAAGGAGGAGATCATGGATGTGGGGTTGTTTACCGTGTCCGTGTGGACGAATGATGAGGGGGACAAGGAGGTCACCCCTCAATGCTATCTCCCTTTGTACAAATGGTTTGAAGAAGGAACATTCTTAGCCGCCTGTGGGCTAAGTTCTGAAATGCCAAGAGGTAGTCGGTCGTCTGCTTTATATGCAATTTCATTTTTCTTTTCAGTACTTGTTTGGTGGTGCTAACACTTGTTCATTTTTGCAGACAAAGCAATGGAGAAGCTCTCGGCCACAAGGAAGCCGGCTGTATGTGCTGCTCGATACATGTCGAATGTCCTAAACAGGGCAGAAGCAACCACCCACACCAAAGTGGATGAGCAGAAAATTGGCGGCACCCCGAAGGTAGGAAATTGTTATACTTTCATTTCTGACCAATATTAAATTTGCTCGAATGATTTCTAACTTGCTTTTATCTTGTGTTGATGTAGGGTGCACCTTCCAAATCTCCTTCAAAACCATCCGACCCTAAGGTCCAAAAGACAAGGGCGGGTGATGTGAGCGCATCTGGCAAGGGCGACCGGAAGCACATTGCTTATAAGCCCAAGAAAGGCCCAGACGCCTCTTCTCTCGAAGCTGATAGGGAGATCAGCAAACCGGATGTCCAGAGGACATCGAAGGGTGGCTTCAACCAACCCACCACTGCTGTCGGCTCAGCAGGAGAGAGAGGGAGAGAGGAGGAACCGAAGGACGACGGTAAAAACCATTCGCCTTTCTTGTTCTTCCATTTAGATATACTTGTGTTATTTTTCTAACTCTCTTTCCTTCTCAGTTCCTGTGCAGAGACCGACTGTAATCCAGATGGCCAAGTCCATGCTGAGGGCGGTTGATCCTGACGACAAGGCGTGTGTCAGGGGAGTCGGCACCCTAGATTTGGATGGCATCTTGGGGAACCTCTGCGAGGTATGAGTCTTGACTTAAGCAACTCAATTCTCTTTTCTTTTTTTTTTTTTTTTTTTTTTTTTTTTTTTTTTTTTTTTTTTGCTCAAGTCTTTATCTGCCTGGTTTTAACCATTCGGCTCTTTTTGCAGGCCATGCTGCGCGTCAAAGGGCTCAGGCAACCCCTCAAGGAGAAGTCCAAAGAGGTAACAGCCGCCAAAGCTCGGGCCGAGTCCGCCTTGGATCGAGCTCAATTTGATATTGCTCAAAATGAGTTTCTGACGCTTGATATGATGTATTCGCAGGCGGAAGCCAATATGCAGGTGAAGAAGGACCTGGACTCGGCCTGTCTGCGCATCACTTCCCTTAAGAAAGAAATTACAAATCTTAAGGAGAAGCTCGAGCCTCTTCAGGACGCCAAAGAAGAGGCCGAGAGAGCCAAGCAGAAGGTGGGCCGCCTGGAGCAGCGCCTCAGCAACCAGGAGCATCAGCTGAAGTCCAAGTTTGAGTCCGTGGCTGAGCAAGAGAGAGAGGCTCTTGTTAAGCAAATGATGAGCGACTATGATGCCATCATGCGGGACACTTGGGCGGCTGTACAGCCGGACTCAGACTATCAGACTTGGAAATCCAAGTTTGATGAAGCCAGCAAAGCATTCAACGATCGCCTTATTGAAGAGGCTGAGAATGCTGCGGCCGAGGAAAGCTCTGGGTCCGACTCTTCTGGGGAGTCGTCCTCTAGTGGCGAGGAGGAGGATCAGATGGAGGAGCAAGAGAAGAATGATGAAGAGCAGCCGAAGGACAACAGGCCGGCTGCCAATGAAGAGGCTCTCCCCTGATCACTTAAGCTTTTTTTTTTTATATTTTCTGCGGCCGAATGGCCATGTACTTTGCTTTTCCGGCCTGCGTGCCGAGTATTTGATGTATCTTTACCGGCCAAGGGGTCGGGTACTTTAACAATTTCTCTGGCTTTGCCAGAAAACAATCTTAACCAGTCGTCTGATGGAGATTGGTCTTTTTTAATTTAAATCATGGCCGCTCGTTTTTTCAGAACAGCCGCCTCCTGTGGTGAGTCAGGGAGCGTGTCGTCTGCAAGATAGGCCCAGATGCTGTCCATCCAGGTTGAGCTTCGGTCAAGAATTCCAATGGGGTCTTCCTCAGATATACTTCTTCTTTCCATGACCTCCCAGAAAACTGACCGAGGCGTTTCACAGGAGACGGATGATGCCAGCTTGGACAGAGCATCCGCCTGATTGTTTGAAGACCTGGGCACTTAAGTTAGATGAAATTCTTCAAGTGACCCAACTTCACTCTTGACCGCCTGCAAATATTTTATCATGGCCGGATGAGTGGCCTTGTACGTTCCATTAACCTGGAGTACGACCAGTTGAGAATCAGAGCAGGCGGATATCTTCTTTGCCCCTGCCGCCTTGCAGTACCGGATGCCAGCCAGCAAGGCCTCATACTCGGCCTCATTGTTAGAGACCTGGAACTTGAACCGTAGTGCGTATTCGTACTTATCTCCTTCAGATAATCCCTGCACCACAGCCGTTCACAGTGGAGCTCCCATCCACATACACTTTCCAAACCTGGTCTATATTATCCGGTACAACCGGCCTTGTCATTTCGACAATAAAGTCAACGAATGCTTGTCCCTTTATTGCCTTCCTTGGTTCGTAAGTGATTTCTAGTCCTTGCATTTCAATCGCCCATTTGAGCATTCGTCCAGAAGACTCCAAGGTTGTGAGTGGCCGCTTGATCGGTTGGTCAGTATAGACCTCTACCGCATGCGCCAAAAAGTAGGGTTTAAGGTTCTTGATGGCCATGTAAAGGGCAAGGCCGAATTTCTCAACCATGGGGTACCGAAGCTCCGCGTTTCTCAGAACATGGCTAATGAAATACACCGGGAGCTGGATGTCGTCTCTTTCAGCTAAGAGAACGGCACTGAGGGAATGATCAGAGACGGCTAAGTACATGAAGAGCTTCTCTTTGGGAAAAGG